CCATCCGGTTTGGATTGAACGTATTTCGCCATATAACGGGTTTAAACACAGATCCACTGCCTAAAGAAAAGTTTGAGTCTGAAGCGGGCTACAAAGCGTTCTTCAGGGAATTGGGTGTGCCAACCGGTGAAGGTCCTAAGTTAGAAGAACTTAGGCAAGGCTTAGTAATGTGTAGAGCATGGCCTCATGAAAAGCGTAGATGGTTAGGGTTATTGACTCTTCTAGCCATTGAACTTTATGGCTTGCATCCTAACTCTAGGATACCATTTGAGAGTGCCAAAAGAGTTTCTAATGACGAAGCCATGAAGACTAATCCATCGGTCGGGCAGCATTTGAAGCCATTGTCATTTCTATAAAGTTGCCGAGGTCTATTGGCAAGACGTACACCATCAGTTCTGTTTTTTTGTCAACTATGTTATGTGACGGCTTAGTTATGTTCTTTGATGGTTAAGTTATGTTCTTTGATGGCTAAGTTATGTTATGTTTTTTGTCAAATATGTTATATGACGGCTGAGTTATGTTCTGTTTTTTTTGTCAAATATGTTATGTCATGGCTGAGTTCTGAACTGTAATGACTGAGTTATGTTCTCTAATGGCTAAGTTATGTTCTGTTTTGTGAAATATGTTATGTGATGGCTGAGTTATGTTCTGTGACGCCTGAGTTATACTATGGCTGAGTTAAACATACTGATGGGTTTTATTATCTCTTGTGTTGTAGTTGCGTGTGCGTAAAATGGTTGCGAAGGCTGAGTTAACCGAGCTGTTTCATACTTGGCCAAACGAATTAGAAGACCCAGCACTGGATCACTTGATCGAAGACATACACGAGGCTAAGCTTGTTAAAGGTTATTGGGATGTGAAGACGAATGAGAAGAAGAAGAAACTCGTAAAAGATAAAGATGCGGATGTGTCTGAATCTCCCGCAAAGAAGCAGAAAGTCTCTCACAGTGAGGGTGTTCATTCTGGTGGAGGAGATGCACAAAAGAAGAAAGAAGAATAAGAAGAAGGAAGTAGCTGTCGAATCAGATGAGTACGAGGACAAGCAGGATGTTCGGGGAGAACGTCGTTCGTGGATGTGGTTTCCAACTTAATCTCTCCCTTAAACTCAAGGTATGAAACCGTTGATAATAGCATCAAAGAAATGTCCTCCTGTCTGGAGGTGATTGGAGATCAAGTAGAAGCGAGGATTGATGCAAAGTTTGAAAGAAGGTTTGCATCTATTGAGAACGAGGTCAAACAGATGAAAGAGCATCTGAAGGTCATTGGGGTAGGCCTAACTGGCCAAACTGGCATAGCAAACTCAAAATTAAACTCTAGAGGGGTTATTAGAGATATGTTTTTAACCAAAGAGCAGCAAGGCAACCCTAAACCCCAAACTCAACAGACACCAAAAGGTCCAAGGAAACCTACAAATAACCAATCTGTTACTAGTCCTCCTCCGGTAAGCTAATGACTGAGTTGTTACTTTTTATTTAGCTGAGTTACCGTCATATTATACGGCTGAGTTATAGTTTTTATTTAGTTACAACTGCGTTATATTGATATATAGGTCTGAGTTTTCGTTATTTAACGCTTGAGTTTTCTTTACGTTTATGTAGTCGAAAGAAGTTGTAGATTCCGTGGTAGAGAAGGATGCTGATATTGCTGAGGTTGGTAAACAATTCTGATATTGATTTCATTGAGAAGTCTCCTCGTTCCCGCCGTTTACGCTCTACGACGGCGGCGAGGAGAATTTCCAAAGCGAAGACATCACCAAAGAAGAAAGGTAATGTTAAGGAGAAAATCTTAAATGAGCTAATCGTGAAAGAGCCAGCCAAAAGAGGAAGAAAGGCTGCTACAAAGGTGCCTCCAAAGTTGACAATAAAAAAGCCAAAAGCACCTGAGGAAGCCAAGGAAAAATCTGACGGTGATACTTCTTCTGTCCCCAAGATTAAGCCTGAGGAAGCCAAGGAAAAAGCTGACGGTGAGAGGGTAGCTGATGATGATTCTATACTTGATGTTACTGACCAGTGGTTAGCTAAAGATAATCGCCTGCTGCCTGAGTCTGATGAAGATGAGGAGGAAACCATGAGGTTGCAGAGAGTAAAAGCTGTGAGGAGAAAAAGTGTTAAGCTGGCCCCAGATGGGAGTTCATTGATTAAACTTGATGAAATGACCACTGACTTTTCCAGTAATTGGAGACAACGGGCTGAGCTGCATGATGAAGGGTTGTCTGCCTTCACAAGGAATCTATGATCCTATGGCACCGGGTGATCCGGCCAAATTACAGAAACTTAAGGATTATTTGTCAAGTCCTGACAGGTAAGGCCCTTTATACCTTAATAAGTTGTTAAGTACGACATGCTTACACTATTTGTGTATATTAACTTTCTTTTATTATTTGTTAGCAAAAAATTGTTGGACAATGGAATAGACGAGGTTGATTTCTACGGAGTTATCATGACCGCAAGAAAGTCCTGGCCAGATTCAAAATATGGATGGCTGGGTGATGAAGTAAGTTATTGTTATATTGTGTTTGAGTTTGTCTACTTTATGGCTGAGTTATCGTGTTGTTCAGGCTGAGTTAAATGAATTATAGCTGGTTTATTTTGGTGTGCAAACAGAGTTGTAGTTGGTTATGTCTAAGTTAGGGTATTGTTCTGCCTGAGTTAAACTAGATAATGGCTGATTTATTTAGGTGTTGCGGCTGAGTTTTACTTGGTTACGCCTGAATTAATGTTGTGTTGTGTCTGGGTTGGTTTTATTTTTGTACAGCAACTTGGTGCGTATATGAAAGTCCTCGCCCTGAGGCTCCAGCGAGATCCATGCCCATACCACAACGAACACGTCATGATTCAGACCTGTGGATCACGACCTATTGGGTTACAGATTACAATAAGTTCAAGATCAAACTGAAGAGGTTTTCTTTCAAAGACACCGCGTATCAACAGTGGATTAACGGTATGGGAGGAGAAGTCCCGACACGGAAGAAGTGGATAACAGATATAGATCACTTGTATATTATCCACCAAACCGGAGGTAATCATTGGGTGACCCTTCAGGACGTGAACTTCCTTAGGTCTCACATTGATTGCTATGATTGCATAGTTAAAGAGCATATAGACGAGAGCGATGGAAAAATGCTGGAAGCTTGTAGGCCGTTCACGAGGATGATTCCACAGATGATGAACGAACTGATTCCTTCCAAATTTTGTATCCCGCAATACGACCAATTTTCATTCTGGCGGAGGGACAAGAAACAGGTCCCGCAAAATCATATCAGAGGGGACTGCGGCGTTTACGCGTTAAAGATTCTTGAATGTTTATTGCTTAGTGTTTGTTTTGATGGCATTACTGATGCAAATATACAAGCTCTACGGGTTAAGATGGCAGCAAAGACCTTCGATGAAGCACATGAAAGGATGCCTGCACGGTATCTAAAGACGTGATTGGCTTTTTCGAACATATGTTTATGGCTTTTGGGATTTTTAGCATGTGATTGTACTAAATATTGACGCTTTAGGATTGATAACCAGAATTATGTCTGTATGAATCTATTATGTTAATAAAAAGTTAAATCGAATTAATGGCTGACTTATCATCGCTCAATTCGTTTTACAGCTGAGTTATGCTAACGTAAGGGCTGACTTGTCATCGCTCAAATCGTGTTATGGCTGAGTTATGATACCGTGATGGCTGAGTTATTGTAGTTTAATTCGATGTTTAGCTAAGTTATTCTAACGTGGTGGGTGACTTATCATCACACAAATCGTGTGATGGCGGAGTTATTCTAACGGCGGACTTATAGTAGATTATTCGATGTTACGGCTGAGTTATTCTAACGTTGTGGTTGACTTGTTATACCCAAACTTCGCTGTAATCAAAGAACCCAAACGTGAGTAGCGGACTATACTTACACCGGTTTACCTTCTTATAAATATATACACTTGTTTTCTCTTGTCTTTTCTCTTGTCAAGAACCCAAACGTCGTTAGAGGACTATATATACACTGGTTCTCTCTTCTCTTTTCTCTTGTCGATTCTTAGCAACTAAAACTCTTCTCTTTTCTCTTGTCTTTTCTCTTGTCTTTTCTCTAATCTCTGAGCAACAAAAACTCTTCTGAGATCATAGATGCATCAGGTTCCAACAAGAAACCGTGTGTGGATAACGGTTCCAACAAGAGGCCGTGTGTGGATGACGGTTCCAGCAGAAGGCTGCTTGAAACGAAGAAACGTTTCAAAGGCATTATCTCTCTCATCAGATGCAACATAAGGGAGACGGAGGAAGCACACTTCTTGGATCTCAAACTGCGTGAGAAAGAAGGAGAACTTAATCTCCTAAAGAAAATGAAGAGGATGGAGGACGGATTTAATGTGGAGGAGGAGTTCTAGAAAGTGGAGGAGCAGGTAAGCAAGGCTTACAAAGAGAAGAATGAATTCAAGGTGATTAGTATTGATTGGGATAAACTGGGGTATGGATCAATCGAGAGTTCAAGTTTTGAATCAGATGAAGAATCAAGATGGTGATTGATGTGATTGTATCGTCATAACAAAATTACATCTCCATGTTATTTGTATTTAATTTTATGTTATTAAATTGCAGTACTCCTATGTTATCAATGTTAAGTCTTCATTTTTCTATTTTCTATTCGCGTGTGTGATTCATAATCTGTCTCTCTTTCAGATTATTGTAGATTAACTTGATGTTTGGTTGAGTTATTCGTGTGTGATGGTTGAGTTATTCTAACGTTAAGGCGGACTTACCGTAGATTAACTTGATGTTTGGTTGAGTTATTCGTGTGTGATGGCTGAGTTATTCTAACGTAATGGTTGAGTTATCGTATTTAAATTCGATGTTGGTTGAGTTATTAGTACGTGATGGCTGAGTTATCGCAAGACTGGCTGACTTATTTAAAATTGACAGTACAAGGAAGTCCAAACTGAAAAAACCAAATTTAGCTAAGCTCACATATACTTGTTCAAGCTCTCATACTTCTTCTCTAGCGTTTCAAATTTCTTTCCCATAAGAAAGTTCTTTTCCGCCTAAGGCTCGACGTGCTTGTTGGCTGCTTCCAGGTCCTTCTTCATCTCATTCGACTCCTCTTTAATTATGTCAAACTCGTCACACAATGCAACAGTCCACCATCTCTTGAAACCGCAGCCTCGACTGAGACCCTTAAATAAGAGGTTGATTCATAGGGATACAAAAATAAAAGAAATAAATAGAGAATCATAACTCAAAAGATGCTTACATCTGATATTTCATACGTACAACTGAAATAAAGTTTTCCGCTTGTAACAGGATCCCGAGAAGTGGCAACGAAAACCTTAGCATTGCAATCACACTTGATCAGAACCCCCTTATCGCGCCTCCTGTTTTCGTCGTACCTCATTCTCATCCTTATTTCCATACGATCGAGCTCCTACATTAACACAAACATGATATACACCTCATTAGATGGCTAATGATTTGAATCCTAGGTGTATTTACGCTACGAAGAGAGCAAATAGTAAGAATTTGTTCTATGGTTTACTGGAAGTGCTTTCAATAAAAACTCAATGCTTACCGTGAGGAGAAAAAACCATCTTTCCTTGAAAACAACGGGAATCATCTGGTACGTCGGCCACGCATGGTGAAAGTTGCGCTAAAGTATATCTGCAATCGCGACAGATAGTTCACGATTGAATCTGAACCACGTAACAGTGGTTTTGTCAACCCATTTACCCAAGCCAGGGTTTAGAACTTGGAGATTCGCCCGATCAGGAGCGGTGAGTACGGCTTCGACATCTCTTATAAATTGTCCGTCAATGTGAGGAACAACTATGTCGTTAGGAAGAGAGGATGAGACGTGTAAATGATGAGATGAAGTAACAGAGATATAGAAGAAAAGAAAAAGAGAGGTAAAGGAATACGAAAGGTTCGTGTCTGACCGTTTGGCGGAAAAGTTTTAGGTTACGGCTGAGTTTTACGGTAAAATATATTGTTACGGCTGAGTTACACTCAAGATATGTAACAATGTTACAGCTGAGTTGTCAAGAATTATAAAATAAGGCAGGTAAAGGAATACGAAAGGTTGAGTGTCCGACTGTTTGGCGGGAAAGTTTCCTAGGATACGGATGAGTTTGGCGGCAAAATATATTGTTACGGCTGAGTTACACTGAAGACATGTAACAATGTTACAGCTGAGTTGTCAAGTATTATCAAATAAGACAGGTAAAGGAATACGAAAGGTTGCGTGTTTGACCGTTTGGCGGGAAAGTTTTATAAAGCTTTACGGCTGAGTTAACCAACATTACGGCTGAGTTGTCAATAAAGCTTTAAGATCCATTCGATTTACTGACTAACCGATTTACGGTTATATTCTGCCCAATTAACTCTCACAAACAGAAGATCACAATCAAAATATTTCTTCACCTTTCAAAGACTCGGACTTTCACCATGGTGTATTTCCACGGCATTTGCGACTAGTCTCCTTTCATAACTGGATGGAAGATTTGTGTAATGGTTCTTAGAACGTAAACAAGGTTTTACAGAACTACGGGTCGTCTTTGTCGATGAATGGGTAATGGAATCTTCACTCTTCTTACAAGTCATACTTAACCTTATTCTTATCTTACTCCCTATATTACTCACCCTCCGATGTTGTTTTCATATGGAATCCAAATTAAAGCTATAATCAGAATACGTTTTGCTCAACGTTACTTCGATATTCTCAAAGAGAATCAATGGAAATCAATCTCAACTTTTCTTGTCATTCCAACCCACTACTACATGATTGAGTTCATGGAAGCAACATCGGTCATAAGGTACGACCCAAGGGAAACTGTTTTATTTAACAGATTCACACCTTTTCACTACATTATTGAAGACACCGTTCATACCGATACTTTGGTCGGTAAGTAATACGTATCTAATGCAGATTTCATACTTTCACCTTTGACATGCCTGTTTTTTAACTTTTATTTCATACTCCCAGATTTGGTTGGTGCACTCCTCGATATAGGATGTATGAGAAATTCCTCACACAATGGTGTCAAGATTGACAGATTCAGACTTTCCTTCGAGAT